ATCAGTGTGCCAATCAGTATTAGCAACTCACTTCTGGTTTTGCACATCATCAAATGGCGTTTTGCGGTCATTTCCTGTCAGACATTGACGAAGAATAAGCAAGCGAGGACCGTCATCCGTAAGATACTACACACCATCATTCTGTCTCTTTGCTCGTTCGGATAGCCACGCCGCCTTTTCGTCCTCAAACTTCCGCCTTGCCTTCTCCAATTCCTCCTTCTGCTTCTCAAATTCCATCTTCTCCCTTGAGAACGTCGCATATTCCTCTCGGGCGTTTCTGCAAAGTTCGTCATATCGCTCTCGGTCGTCGGCAAGCGCCTTTAACCCTTGATGAAGTTGAGTTCGCTCTTCGTTGATCTTATTCCTCTCTAAGCGGAGCTCTTCGACAATTGCTAATCGATCCGCTTCGATCTTTTGTGCCAATCGTCGGACTTCTTCCTCTCGAGTTGCCACGGCCCTTTCTCGGGAGTGAATACGATCTTGTTCTACCTTGGCCTCTCGTAATCTAATAGAGTGTGAGAATCAGCGTCTATAAGCGACATAGTACTGATCAACATACAGTTTTCCGGTTTCGATCTGAGAGCGTATTTGCTGGAACCTTTCATGCTGAAGCAGAGTTTGCACAGAGGGCCTTGAATTGGGCTGGCATGAAAGACGTAAGTTTTGGTCTAAAGATATAGTGGGAGGAGCTTACCGTAAGATTGAGCATGCCACGGATGGCATGGGAGAGTGAAGATGAGTAGCCCCTTGGCAATGGTGGGATATGGCCTCGTTTGATGAGCATAGCTAGCTCTGCATGTGTTTTAGCTTCGGCAAAGGGAGGCCTATAGAATTGTATAGATGAAGGTTGGCATAAGAAATAGGTTGATGACCAACGTACTGTAATGCGCAAAGCTCATAAATAAGACAACCGAGACTCCATATATCGGACTTGGCATCATATGCCTTCTCGTTCATCATCTCGGGAGACATGTAGTATGGGGTCTTGTGATGATGTTTTAGCAGCGGGTTTAAAAAAAATGAAGACAGGTGCGTGCTTACCCCGACATATGTGTTCGCGAATGTTGCATATGTCATTTGCTTAGACAACCCAAAGTCTCCCAGCTTGACATTATCATCGCTAGTGAGGAACACATTTTCAGGCTTGATATCACGGTGCAATATCTGATGTGTTCGTTTCGGAGCGGAAGGGTCGTCGGGAACGGCATTGGGACAGTGGCAATGTTGGAGAGCCTGGAGAATTTGGAAGAAATACCGCCACACAGTATCTTCTGGCAGTGGCCTACATTGTTTCCTGCTCTTGGAGAGAAGGCTGCCGAGATCGCCTCCCCCACAGTACTCCATTAGTATGTAAAGGATTCCGTTTTCACGATCTACCCACTATGTTCAACTTTGTCAGCGGGTATGTGCTAGACATACGAGGCAAACCACTTACGCGATCGATGTACCGTACAATATTTTCGTGGTTGAGATCCTTCAATATGTTACTGAGAATATGGAGGTAATGAGGAGGGTGCTCGATTAGACTGCAAAAGTTACCTACACTTCCGCGACGATTTGCTTTCTATCCTTCTCAGTCATCTTCTCAAAGCGTAGCTCTTTTCGGGCCAGTATCGTGCCATCGGACTTCCGCTTGACCTTGCGGATGATGCCAAACGAACCATTGCCGATGATATCGCCTGCTTCATAGTCGTCCAGCCAACTATGTTGGTTCATAATGAAATCCTCAAGAATGTCTAAAGGAGTCTAGAAGAGAGGTCCACGGGTTATCAGCAGGCCCTCAGAGATGCCTGCGGTGGTTGTGAGTGTTCTTTGAACCGTTGGTTGGTTCGTGTGGGATCAAAAGACGATGAACAAAAGAGTAACGAGGCGTGTTTGATTCAACACGCCACAACACAAACCTCGCGTAAATTAAATCACGTGCAACGGTCAATGTAAGGGGTTTTACACTGGCATGCAAACAAATTGTTTGGACAAACGATCATGGCCCGTGTACACAACCAGCAAATAACCGTCGTCAGTCAATCTCCAGCTTGTTCGGAGTTGACTGAAAACTTCCGGGAGGTTTTGAATAAGCATCTCCAAGGGTGCATGAGCGTGACTGTCGCTTATAGGTGGAATCCCTAAGACGTGGGTTCTGCACTAATCCTTTTGTGCACTCCAGTCTCAGTCTTTCTCGCTTGAAGCTGAAGCAGAGTCTTGCTCTTCCTTTCGTTTACTGACATCAATATGTCATTCTTTCTGCGAACATGGTAACAACAAGATCTGTCAGCACGCAGTGTAACCCTACTTTGCCGCAGACACCTCATATCATCATGGTTGCATATCTGTACATTTACAGCAAGTGGAGATGAGAAAGGATTGCTGTATTAGCATGAAGACTAGGTGAATCTCAGCCTTCGGGGTGTAAATCGGAGTTTTTCAGTCACCAGAGAATAATTAAGCGCCGAAATGGCATCTGGGATGCGTTGGTCAAAGCTCTTGTCCGTCAGGCGCGAGTACACCACTAAAGTGGGATATTATGCCGTCCGAGATAGAATGGGAATAGGGGAAACAACCCATATATATGAAAAAGATGCAGCAATTGCCACTAGACCGTGATCTTTTAGTATTTTTTTTTTTGTTTTATGTTCTTTTATGGAGATCGGGGTGGTTGAAGTTGTGACTAGAGCGAGCCTTGGCCCTCTACGGCGGCACTGCCGAGCACCAATTTTTTATCCACTCCTTCTTCGAGAAGGAATCCCTTGTCCTCCGTCGTGGATGTGATGCCATGTCGGAGGAGAGGGCGAGCAAGATAAGTCTCTAATCTGTATATTTTAACGAACACGATCACTGATACATTCTTGGGTTAACGATGGCAACTAAAGGTCCTTGTCGTGCTCCAATCAAGTTCAAGTCCACATGGAGCACGACAATGGCCGTTTATCATATCAAGATTAGTACTTCTTGTCGCTCTACTCCGCGACCCTGAACGTCACCTTTTCATTTTCTTCGGTTATAGATACATATGGGCGGTCTATTGGCATCATCCAGCAGCTGGCTAGCGCGATACACAATCTACATTTCATTTACCATCTCTATGTACCTCAATACAAATCATCGACGAAGGACTTTCTTCTTTTTCATTTTAGGCATACCTGCTTGGATCACATCATCATCGCGATCCATATCATCTCGTGTGCTACCCTCGTCTCGACCCCGCCGCCTTTTTTTGCTACCGTATTTCTCCTCCTTCATCTCTTGCACAGCCATCCTGCTTGCTTCACCCACACGTTCGACAAGTAGCATGATAGCCTCCTTATCGACCACAAATTCCTCCATCTTCTTGCCTATCACGCCTTCTATTCTTTGTAACAGTTCCACATCGTATTGGGTCACCATCGTAATCGATTTTCCCGATCTGCCCGCACGAGCCGTTCTACCGACCCGATGTATGTAGTCTTTCGAGTGCTGAGGTACGTCGAAGTTGATCACGATGTCAACCGCTGGAATGTCGAGACCACGGCTAGCAACGTCAGTCGCAACCAGAATGTTACGGCCTCCACTCTTGAACTTGTTCAAGGCCCCAAGACGAGAGCTCTGGCTAAGCTTCCCGTGGAGGGGTATGGCTGAGAATCCCAATTTCCGCAAAAGAACAGATACTCGCTGAGAATCTTGAACAGTGCGAGTGAAGATGATTATGGAATTTTGAGCCAGCTCGTTAACAAGGTGCACAAGATACACATCCTTGCGGGAAACTGGCAGAAATACGTAATGCTGAAGCAGAGTAGATACTGTTGTGTACCTCAACTATAATGTCAGGAGTTGTCAATAGCGACAGTTGGATGTGCACTTACTTGGCTGAGACTTCAACCCGCACAGGATTTGACAAGCTGGCTCTTTGCAGCTTTTCCACTTTTGTCGACATGGTTGCTGAGAATAAGTATGTCGTCCTTTCCTTTGGAAGTACCTTGAGTATCTTGTCGATCATTGGACCAAAGTCCATATCAAGAAGACGGTCAGCTTCATCAAGTACCTTTTACATATCAATGTCAGTGGCTGAAACCAATTCCCATGAAGTACCTACGAGAAACTTTATACCCCGAAGAGAAAACCCTTTCGTGTTTTCAAGATGATCGTTTAGCCGACCTGGAGTAGCAACGACGATGTGCGGGCGTTTTGACAATGCGATTGCTTGGGACATCATGTCCATTCCACCGACCACAACAGCACATCGCACACCAATGGCTGAACCAAGAGCTTCGAACTGTTGTGATATCTGGTAAGCCAGTTCACTGAGATGATGTTAGACAGGGTAACCCAATAATGTCACTAAGGAAATCCTCACCGAGTTGGAGCCATTACGCATGCAAATAATCCCTTCGGCTCCTCCCATAACTTCTGGAGTATCGGTAGTGCGAAGGCGGCTGTTTTTCCAGATCCCTGTAAGAATTGCTATTAATGAATCGTCTTCGATGATGAATCGTCATTTCTACCGTTTCTGCCACTCCTATAATATCTCTGCCAGATAGGGCGTGAGGTAAAGCCGCGGCTTGAATTTCCGTTGGTTTAGTAAAGGAAAGCTGATCCAACGCCGTCAACAGTGGTTTGATGATCCCCAAGGATTCAAAAGTTGCAGGTGGCTTTGGCTCCTGTAATTCACTCTTGTCATAAGCTGGAGATTGGGAGCGAGAACTGGACGCTTCTGATGGTGAAGGCATACTGTTCAAGGTGGTGAAGATGGTTATTAAAAATAATCGAGTCACGTGGTTCTAATGTGCGGACTTTCAAATAATGACAACTTACTCAATAATTAAAATGGTTAGCATTGACTCGCTTCAATGCTTCATAGTACGACTATTGATGGTCTTTAACAACGCGGATCATAGTACATGCGTAAATAACTTGTCGAAACATTTCAGGTCCGATGATTGTCTGCCATTTTCCACAATGTCGAGCACGAGATTTAGGGGGTCCTCGACCTATATCAGGACTTGGTCAATTAATTGGACGAAAAAGGTTATCCACTGAGGGGATTGAACCCTCGACCTTTTGCTGTACGGTCAGTACCGGAAACAAACGATCTACGACTGATCTAAGTGGACTCGCTCGGAGGGCATGCAGACCATGGTAGGAGGTTGGTTATCCCAGATATGGGATGGGCACCATTTCATAACAGGTATGTCATTTAACGTTGTATTCGTG